ACATATCTGGAGCCATTTCCTTTAGTTTAAATTGTTTACATTCTCTGTTGACAGTATCCGCACACATAACAAAATCTTCATCCACTTTTTTAGTTAAATTCATGCACCTCCAATGAGCATGGTACAGAGAGCACTTGTCACTACAAATTTTCATCAGAATGTGTACTGTCTTCAAACCCTATTTAATCTGGTTTTTTCAGTAAAATATAATTGCAGTACTTTTCATACACTACTGGCACTATTTTTCTTAACAACCTTTTTTTTTTTTATCTTTTTCTCAGTTACTGCATTCCTGACTAAATATTCATGTCTGCAAAAATACACAGCAAAAGTCGGTCTGTCATCAAGATTGTATATGAATTCTGATATGGCGTTTTGCACCACATCTGGTGTAAGAGATGTTGAAGCATTTTTCTTCAAAACCACTTCCAATAACTTGTCATTTATTGTAACTGCAACAATTGTTGGGTATTTTGTTGTTTTTGTTTTTGTTGTTATTGTTGAATTTCAACTAGTGAAGCTAAAATTTTCTCCATTTCAAAAATCTGGTCACCCATTATTATAACTCCATTTATAATGTGGTGCTTTTTATACTGTGCTTGAGTTCAAGTTTCTACCCACCAACTATTATAACTCCAGTTATCCCATGCTTGTGTCCGAGTTCCCTTGTTGCCAACTATTATAACTTCCTATTGTTATAACACACACTCATACTTAGTATAACATAATTCATGTAAGTATTCTCTACATGCAATGCTTAGGCTATTGCTGTAACACCTGTATAGTTAGTATGAAGACTGACTACAATAGGACCACACCCTTGACTTCATACCATGGAACTCTTTAGAGTATTGGACAAGTTCGTAGAGTCACTGGGGTGTACAAGCCTATAATCTTTTCTGTTAAATACCAAAACTGTATAAGAATCAGAATTAGTTGTAACAATGCATTATTTGTCTTTGTAAAAGATTAACAATTTTTGAAATTTACATCTGAAATTATTTTATATTTATTTCTTCATCACAAAGTTGTAGAATTAACAACAATTATAGACTTTACACAATATAAATGTAAATGCAAGGATTGAATCAAACATCAGATTCTAAATTTTTCTTAACATTTTTAAAATTGAAGATAAAAGTAATAATTTGGCAAGATAACAAGGTTCTAAAACATACTGTAGTGAACACAAGCTACTGGCTGTAGAAAAGATAGTAGCTTGCAGTCTTTGATCATGGGACATGTTTCATTGACCAACATTGCAAAATGACTTTTTTAGTCAACAGTGGAGCAAAGATATCATTCATCCCAGCTTCTCCAGAGGAAGAACGGAAAAGTCTGAAAAGTTTACACTAAATGCAGTGAATAATTCCATTATCTACACTTATGGGCATAAATATTTAATGCTGGACTCAAGTTTCATGCATTTTTGCCAAGCCAACATTAGGTACCAACTTTCTATACCACTATGGTCTACTGATAGATATAAAAAATTGTTATACCGGAACATACCTATTCTATTGTAAATAGACTCTCCCAGATATAATAAATAGTAGTAGTAGCAGTCGCCAGGGGGCTCAGTGAGTTGAGTGAGTCAGTCGATGTCGGACATTGAAGTATCAACCACCACAACTAGATTGCTGCGTCATTAACTATTATTTTCAAGTTCCTAATGTTTTGCAAAACATCGGACCTAATTTAGGACGACTTAGTGAAATACAAGCCTCATATTGAAAAAAACTATACAACACATTGGCAAAAAGGTTGTAACTCATAATGGAAGGAAATTTTTTCATTCACTCTATAACAACTTTGGCGACCAGGATTCGAAATTCATAGGTGAAAAAAATTTTTTAAGAAAAAAAAAATTTGTTCTGCTATATACAACACTTGGCAACAAATGTATTTGAATTCAAATGGAGGGGAAAAAAAAACAAAAACTTTTCGTTCACTCTACAACACTTGACAATGTGGATTCGTAACTCATACAGAAGAAAAAAAAAAAAATTCGTTTGTTTATAACAAATGTGGCGTACGAGGTATTCGGTTTCATATAGTGAAAAAAAAAAAATTCGCTTTGTTATTTTTGGTGACCTGGTTCTGATATGGTCAAAAAAAAAAAACTTTTGAAATTCAAATTTTCGGCATATATCAGATCACATTTAGAAAAAAAAAAAAAAAAAAAAAAAAAAAAACTTGGAAAAGTTTTTTCAAAAGACAAGATGGTCGAAAGTGAAAAAAAAAATCAGTCGTATTCTCAACTGAGAAAAGAATTTTTTCTTCTTCTTTTCTCGATAAGACAGTTTGCTCAAATAGGTCACGAATTACAAATTCGTTTTGGACCCCCCCTCTACAATATTTAAGCATTGTGTAAACTTTTTGCAAAGATGGAGGAATGCAAAAATATATTCCAGGAATTTTTTAAGTTCCAGACAGAACAACAAATGACAATATTAGAGCAACAGAAATCATTCCAGATGCAACTACAGGAGGAAACTTTTAATAGACAGATGCAATTTCAAGAGAAATGGAACTGATGCATAAGGAGTTTCAAAACAAAATTCTGGAAATAACTGAGAAGAGAAAGAAAAATCTACAAAATGTTTCTTTCCCAGAGAATACAATATGGAATTCAATTGAAATATTCACGTACAGTCCAGATGAAGAGATAACTTTTGAAGAGTATTATAAAAAAATATACGGACGTGTATAACAAGGACTGCCAAGAAAAACGTGGTCTGAAGGAAAGAAGGTTAGACTTCTTTTTAAGCAAGTTAGGAACTGCTGAGCATAGCAAATTGGTAAACTACATTAAAAAAACTAGCGAGTTGACTTTTACCAAGGCGGTAAATATATTAAGTGAATTATTTAGTAAAAAGACATCTTTGTTTTACAAGAGGTGGAAATGTTTGAATCTGATGAAAAATGACGAACAAGACTATATAATGTATGCAGCCAATGTGAACAAGCATTGTGAAGAATTCAAGCTAGCAGAGTTAAGCGCTGACAACTTTAAATGCTTAGTGTTTGTTCAAGGGCTAGTATCAGAAAGAGACGCAGAATTGAGGAAATTGGTACTTTCAAAATTGGAAAACCAACAAAATATTACGATACAGAGTTTGGCAGAAGACTGCTCAAGATATGTTAGCGTAAAGAAAGATTCAAGAAAGATTTGAAAAAGACTGAACAGTCTGCCGTTTCGCATGTAAGGAAAATACGCTACAAAAAAGAAAGTCAGTCTACCAAAAAGAATTCTAAAATTGCGGATTATCAAGCAAAAAGTGAAATACCAGAGAAAAAATAAACAAAACTCCTTGAAGACATGTTTTTTGCTTGCGGTGAACTTCACTGATACAGATATTGCAATTTTAGGAATAAAAAATGTTTCAACTGTAAAAGAGTGGGGCATAAAAGCTCGCACTGCAGGTCAAAAAAATAAAGACAATAAAATAAGAAAATTAAAGTCCAACGAGGTGAACGATGGAATAACCAGAAAAATTTGTTACCGCAAAATAAGTAATAAAAAAAATAAAAATGCAACTTGACACTGGTTCTGACCTATCTATCATAAATTTGCATACGTGGAAGAAGTTGGGGAAACCAACTTTAATGAAAACAAGTAAAATCGCGAGGTCAGTGACGGGAGAAAAATACAATTTATTGGAGAATTTGTTACAAACGTCATGTTAATCAAAAAAAACGCTGAAAAGCTAACCTATTTGTCATAAAAAATACCACGAACTTACTTGTACAAATTGGATAAGAGAATTTCAATTATAGGATCTACCCATAAATTTCTGTTACAAGATTGAAAATTTAAACTAATTTGAAGCCCAAAAAATTAGTAAAAACTTAAGGAAACATTTCCTACTGTTTTTTTCTCCAGGTTTGGGAACGTGTACCAAAATGGAGGCAAAATTACAGCCAAAAAAAAAACGGTCAGGCGGTATTCAAAAAAAAAAGGAATGTGCTGTTTGCCTTTCAATTGAACAGATAGATAAAGAATTGGACAGATTAGAGAAAACGGTGTATTTAAAAAAGTTGAAAAAAGTTGAATGGGCAACACCGACGATATACGTAAAAAAAAAGCTCCAGAAAGTAAAGATGAAGTGAAGAGAAAAAATTGGGGAGAAAAAACTGATTATTAAAATTTAATTGCCCGAAACCTAGGACAGAAGCACAGTCAACAAATTATTAAATGACAAAAGTCAACAAGAAGAACCTACAGAAACTATGAGTTCATCTTTAAGAAGCTGTTTTTGGTAAAGCAGAAGGTAGTTTCTGGTAACACTATGGAAAAAAAAAAAAAAAAAAAAAAAAAAAATGGATTCAGGTGATTTTCAATACGTTTGATCTAACATTTTCGATACATTTGATCAAATAATTTTACCTGAGGTATGCCGATCCAGAAAAAAAAAAAGGCAACTGATCATTTAAAAGTGGATCAAAAAAACGTATGAAATACGCTACAATGTTGCTAAAAAAAAAATAAAAAATTTTTGTTGTTTTTTTCTTCATATTTTCTGTAAAAAATGAAAAATAAATAAATAAAACTTTTTACTCCTGCGGAGTAAAATTTTAGCGGGGGATGTTATACTGGAATATACCTATTCTATTGTAAATAGACTTTCCCAGATATAACAAGTAGTAGTAGTAGTCGCCAGGGGGCTCAGTGAGTTGAGTGAGTCAGTCGATGTTGGACCTTAAAGTATCAACCACCACAACTAGATTGCTGTGTCATTAACTATTATTTTCAAGTTTCTAACGTTTTGTATGTTGAACCTCTTTTAGGACCGACTTAGTGAAATACAAGCCTCCACTGTGAAAACTACTCTACAACAAAAATAGAACAATTAATTGACATTAACTAATACAAAGTTTGTTGGGTATCTCTAAGGAGTGATCCTTCTAAGCCCAAAAATTGCAGCAGTTGAACAAGAATATTGTCAAACTTTCTCAGCATAACAGTCAAATTTCAATACATTTGGAAAGAAACATACCATTATGCATCACTCTAAAACCTCCTTGCCTTTTTATGTCCTCACTGACTTGCCCATGATAACCTTTGGATTGCAAAACAGGAATCTCAACATTTAGCAAATCTTGGAATAATTCACCCTTCCAACAGCAGTTGATCCTCACCACTAAACATGATGCTAAAGAAAGAAAAAAAAACACTTTCAAGGAGACTATAGATGAAATTCCATCACAGTTCCAGATCATTATCTGATTTATAACATTCACAACTTCACCACTCAATTGCACAGTGCTACTATACTTTCAAAACATCAATCTGATCCAAACCTATCAATGAATACCAGTAGAAGACATTAAAAAAACAGACATCAGAACATCTTTTAAGTTTAAATTTTTACACTTACCATTTTCACATCCAAGCATGACACAGACATCCCAGAAATATATGAACTCAGTTTTCTGCTACATTGACTATGCCTTTATTGCTAGTATTTCACCAGAACATAAACATAATCTACAAGCAGTTTCTGAAAGATTTTGAAAATACAATGACTTGGTGAACCCTATGAAATGTAAATTCATCTGATCTGAGGTTGACTTTATAGAACATAAAATTAATGCAAATAGCATGAGGCCTTTACCTGAAAGAAACCAAAGTTATTCATTCATTTCTGGTTACAAAAATCTTAATGTCAAATTCTTGGTATGCTTAATTTTTACAAAAAGTCCATACCAAATTTGTCTGAAATATCTTTAGCATTGACAAATATACTCCAAAGGAAAAAGCAAAGTCGTCAGCAAGTAAAAAGTTGTCCAATGTTGATAATCTCACTTTTCGAGATTTTGGAGCAGTACTGTCCTTAGCTGTAGATGTTTTGAGTTTTACCATGAGTGCAGCATTGCAATAGTGTTTGTCCATATCTTTTTTTCTCCAAGAAATTGTCAGAAACTGTTACCCACTATAGCACCTATATTATTTAATGTTTCTTAGAATGAACTTCCCATGTCCTCACTGACTATAAGCCTTTGTTTGGGGCAATACAATTGAAGTCTGATAAACTCACACCATGAATTTAGGCACCTTGATTGTATCAGTCAATTCACTATAGATATTCAATACATAAAAGGCAGTTCCATAACTTTGGCAGTCACCTTTTCCAGAAGCATATCAGCAATAGACATATCCTGTAATCAATTTTGAAGCTACTAAATCAACATAAAAGGATGATGAAGAGCTAAAAGCCTTTCTACATGATAATGCTTCTTCGTTACAAATGAAGGAAATAAATATTCCTCAAATAAAAAATGATGCAATATTTCCACTGGAAATTTATGACCTTTCATTCCCAAAACCTGCAGGTAGATATTTGATACTTTTGCATTTAGTATTCCAACCACGAATTAGAGCTATCTCTAGTCTTATTACCAAAAGTTATGTCTGGTCTGCTATAAAAAAGGACAGAAGTGTTTGGACACATCACTGTTTAGTGTCAAAAAGCCAAAGTAGTGAGGCATACTAAGACAGCCCCTATATGTTTTCCTGTACTGGGCAACAAATTCAATAATACATATCAATTTAAATTAAGTCACCTCTATCCTTGACGAAACCGAGGGAACGACATTGACAGATATAAATATGCCATGAAATAATCCCCATTATTGACATGTTCTCAAACAATCACACAAGTTTTTATTACAGGTTAGGTTAGTATTTGATGCTGACAACAACTATTAACTAACAAGATTTTAGTCATCTTTAACAAATTTGCCTGGTATAAATAGAATTTGTACTAGTTTCCTACCCTGATGCTTATGGTATGATCAAACATTTCCATCACTCTCTGATAGAATCACTGAAAAAACCATATCTCTTAGCACCAGAACATGCCTTTAATCATGCTATGACTGAGAACAACTATAAAAGAGGGTTTAGAAATCAGTGTTCTTCATGATTTTTAAATAGCACAACCTTAAACTTGTACATAGTGAGGGTTTTTGTGTTGAGAGCAAAGATATTGCAAATAATTTCATCATCTTTGAGACAGATCAAATGACAAATTTGTATGCTAGATTCTCTCAAGAATTACAGTTTTGTGCTAGTGAAAGACAATGCTACTAAACATCATTTGCAACCGACCTACAGTTTCCTATAAGGTAATCAAACATTCTGGGAACTACTTTATCATAACCATTAACAATAAATAAGAAACCATCTCCATTGACTGCTTAAAACCAGCACATATAGACACTGTCAATGAAGATTGTTCAGATGATAAAGAAACTTTAAAAACAAGATGTGGGCAATAGATCAAATAACCTAAAAATCTATGTCCCTAGATTTCATGGGAAGAAAAAGCTCATTTCTTGTGATTGTTTTCCAACTATTTCACTGAGAAATGTAGTAAATAAGGCCCAATGACACAAGCCATTGGCTGTAGAAAAGATATGGTAGTAATAGCAGCATCAGAAGCCAACAATTTACATGCAGTCAATCAGCACCTATAGATGCAATCAATTCTTTCTTTTCCATTGACTACAGCATTTCCTTACATCATGGCAATGTTAAGTAATTCCTTTTTGTTTCCAATGTAGACATGTGGATTCTCTGGTCAATGGAAAGGTGTACCTTTCCACATACAAGCCTTTGTTATTTTATTCCTATGGCATGTTTTATAAAATTTCAGCCTGCCTTGCATTTAGCTTTTGTTCTGTATCAGTTTGTTGAAAACATATCTAGTGGCATTGATACCTCAATATAAAAATATCACTTCAACAACTACCAAAATATATTAAAAATAAGAATATACATTTTACATCATCTTTTTTTTTTTTTTAGAAATCTGTAACTGCAAAAGCAGATATTTTGAAATTAAATTTATCATCAGCAAAGTAAAAAAAACAGAAATAATTTTAATATTGAAGATATTCCTCAAAATTTGATACACTTTTACAAAATCATCTAAATTATCTATAACAAAAGTAATAACTATATTACATGCTTATATTTTAAATTTTCTAAGGTGGTTCTAGGCATGAGTGAATAATACAAGTATAGCCTTTTTATAACAAAGGACATTAAGGATAATTTATTTTTATACAAGTGCCAAAAATTATTGAGTGAGAAGGCATTAGAAGACATTGGTGGAACAGAAGCAACACAATATTGAAACAAAGAAAGCTGTGCAGTGGAACAACACAAAAACAATAAAAAGTGACATGATATTTGCATGATGGTATGGTATTACAAGAGGAAGCAATTATTCAGCAACATAGAAAATTAAGTTTTAAAATTGTTAATATTTAATGAGTGAAATGAATGTAAGCAGTATTGACATACAAAGCAAATACGCTACTGTACTAGAGTATTTGCCACCAACTCAAGTTCTCAATGGGTGAGCATAAATTTGTATGCTGAAAATAAAAATTTAGCAAGTGTAAATTGATTATATCTATAGTATTTGATGGCACAAGATATATGTAATTCTGATTATTACCCAGCTTAATGAGTATTCAAATATTTTTATATATAAATCTTGATTACAAATTTCATTAAGATACACAGAAAAATAATTCAGAATAAGTGTACTTTTTTATTAAAGCATATGTGTCATTATAGGTCTTTGTTTAAATAACCAAGGAAAATGTGAGACAGGAGTGAGTCTCGAGCACAACTACAAACTCACCTAACACTTTAAATTACAAGTATTAATTATATTTTAAAATACATTATTGAAAGCATACACCCATTATTTCTCTTGTTTTTATTAAGTTTTATAAAAGATATTTTTCCATGAAGAAAATTAATCAAATTCTAAATCTTTTTCCTTTGGATAATTTTGTGATTTATAATTTTAAGTAACCCAGAAAAGTAATGATATACTATTTAAGCAAAACAAAGCATATAATTTCCAATCTTTATTCAAAAGCAATGTATTTTAGGAGGGGAAAAAGTCAAAGCCTATTTTAATGTAGTTTTTAATTTCTTGGAGGGATGCAAACAAGTTTATCATAAGGCAAATATTTGTTTTTATAATTACTAAGTTAAACTTTATGGGTTATAATTGGTAATATATTTATATCCATACTATAATAAATTTTCAGTGATTTCCATTTTTAAAAGATTTTTTGATAGATATTTACCATGCCTTGGCATAGGATCCCAATAGTAGGGTATCCAATATGAACCAAACTTACTATTACACTAACAAAGGACTGGTGAGATGAACTTCATATGTGCCCAGATATTCATTTTGGAGGGATGGATAAATGCAAAATAAACAAACGTGTGATGCCTGAAATAGAGTTACTGCTTTGCTCAAATATTTAAAAATGTTTTTTTTCTTAATGAAACTAGATTATTGGCATAACATGATATATTCCACACTTCTAATTTTGTGAATTTTAATTTAACAAATGAGGTTAATTTTAAATTAACAAATTATACTAATTTTGAACATACATCTTATCATATTTAAGTGACAAGCTTTGCAAGAGATTAGGTTAAAAAAAAAAGGTAAAGCAATACATCACTCCTACAAAGAAAAATGCTAATAATGTCTACAATCCAGAATTGGGTACAAGAAAAATAACAATTCTAAGCTTAATGAGCATAATATCATTACTAAGTTACCTCTACCAATAAAATTATCATCTACTGAAAATAAAATAATTATCAGCCAAATGAAAATATAGAGAAAGAAATGTATCACTACAGAATTTTTTATCTATATAAATAATTCTCGCATCCAATTGTCAGAATACTACCATTTATAATATTTTCATTGTTCTTGAACCATTTATCAAAACTATAAGCACATATTGAAAACTTTTAAACTTAATATTAACAAGTAACTAATAATATTTATTTTATTGAAATAACAAAATTCATACTAATCATAAAACATTATAAATATTCTTTTCAATAACCCAAATTGCTAAAATTCATTTTAATTTCATTTTTTGTCTCCAGAATTATATTTGAAATATCTCTATGGAAACACCTTCCTCCTTGGAAGAAACCAAGACC